CCTCTACTTGTGAACGGAGGAGCATTCTGGTCACCGGAGATGGCCAGAGTAAGGTCCTCCATCTTAGATGAGAAACCCACCAACAGCCATGAAATAGGGTAATTTAAAAATTGCCTTCAGAAATCTGAGATTTTCTCCAATTGTCCTAAACTTAAGGATCACTACATAAAGGAGAAGGGTGAGGAGGAACCCAAGTTCAGGAAAGGAAAGGATAAGAAGCGGTTCCAAAAGGCTATCTGGGCGGATTCTGTATATGACTCATCTTAGATTGAAGCTGAAGAGGAGAGAACAAAATTATGCTTGATGGGTGATCATTTTGTTCAATCTAACAAAGAAGAGGTATGTGAATCAACCTATGATCACTTATTTGAAGTTTGTGAGAACATTCATGCATCATATAGGAAACTTAAGAAAACTCATGCAAGTCTGAAATTGGAATTTTCAAATTTACAAAAGAGCATGAAATTTTAAGTAAAGATCATACTCAAATTGATAGCAATCACATGTCATTACTTGATGAGTTTGATGAATTGTATAAAAAACATTCTGAGTTAATTGTTGAGCATGATTTATTGAAAGCATCCTACACCTCACTTGAAACTGATTTTAAAACTTATATTGAAGAATTTGAGCATAGGGAGTACTATTTGAATGTTGAAAATGCTATTTTAAAAAGTGTTAACTCAAGGTTTAAAGCTGGATTGAATGCACTTGAGAGAAATAGGAGTACACCCACACTTGATTTAAAGCAAAACATAGGAAGAGACATTATGACATGAATAGATTAGTAAATCCTTTTCCTTGAGTTAGATGTTTTCATGTGGCATACTAGAATACATTTCACACACTTGCAATGTTCACCATAGTACACATTGGGTGTGGAGACCTAAATTGCATGATTCACTACATAATACACATGGATTGCATTCTTCTTTTCATAAGAAGGGACCCAAACCTATTTATATTTCTAAATTTGACATTTGATGATTTATAGGTTTACTCTCACCAAAGACCTCGTGCAAGCGTGTGGTAGCTGGACAATGAATACTCATGACACATGACTTGAGATGCCAATCAATTTGTTACATTGGAGGCCAGGGCTGGAGGCATGGTTTCTCTTGGAAACAACAAAACTTGGAAAGTGGTGGGCATAGGTATAATCAGAAATTTTAAGAACATTTTGATTGAAAATGATTTGCTTGTAGATGGACTGAAACACCACTTGCTAAGCATTAGTCACCTATGCAATAAGGGCATCATCATAAATTTTTTGGAAAATATATGCATTATTAGCTTGAATAAAAATACTATTTTCCAGAGAAAGTGGGTTAATAATTTTTACATGCTTGTTTTAAATAATATTGAATATGCAGCTTTATTTTGTTTAAAAACTGTCACTGATGATTCTTGGTTGTGGCACAGGAGGTTAGGTCATGCCAGTATGAAAACACTTTGGAAAATTAGACACAAAATCGGATTAAGGAGTGTTCTAAGGATATTCAAATGTAAGGAAATCCTTTATGGTGTTTAAAAAGAGAACAATGGTGGTGGAGGAGACTAGTCATATAGTGTTTGATGAATCTGATCCTAAGGAGTCTAGAGTTCAGGATAAAGATGGTGTTGGAGAAATTTCCCAAGGAGTTGAAAATTTAAAGAAGAGTATA